TCCCTGTTTCGCCCGGTGGTGGGTTCCCTCCACCTCCTCTCCCTCCGCCGCCGGGGGCTTTCTCACCCTTCTCGTATAGGACGAGAGCGAGAGCTGCCCAGAAGCAAGGTGTTTTAGCACGGTCTCGAGGATCCGCCATTTTGAGAGGGAGTCGTTTCCCTCATCCCCCTCGAAACGTTGACTTTTTAAGGTAAAATCGTTGCCAGGGCTCTCTCGCTCTCCCTCTCCCGCCTGCGTGCATTCCGATACACCAACGAGGATTTCCGTCCCACGAAACGATTACCTTGACGGACGATCGCCCGCGTTCCTATGCATATACATATGTTCTCGCCCCCTTTTTTTGTACTTTCCTTCTTTAGGATGCACGCAAGGAATTAAAGTACGAGCTACTACCAATACGAACGAAGCGCAACGCGTATAATGTAACGTTATTTATCCAACTCCATGTGTAACGCATTCTCGTCTCGACTAACCGTGCTTTGTTTTTTCTGTTTTCGTTACAGTTGTTCTCTTGGACACGACACAGGAGGAGAAGCTCGAGTGGACAAAGTATCCGTTCGGCCCGCAAGCCAGCACCCCAGGGGTAAGTTTTGCCACTCGATGCGAGGCGATCCGATATGTTACGCCGATGCTAGTTCCCGCGGTCGATATCGTTCGGGGTAGTTTCTCTTTCTCTTTCTCGAGAGAGAGAGAGGATTGCGCGAGATTCAACGATCACGTCGGAAGTAGTCCGCTGATCGTGCGGGGAATTCCAGGAAGTTCAACGGCAAAGACGCGCGCACCAGAGAGCCCGGGCGAGAAAGGTCGAAAGCATTCCAAAAGTCTCTCACCGACACCTTTTTGGCGCGGTGGGAAAAATCGTGGTTCGGTCCGAGGGGACAAAATGGACCCGGTGGAGCAAGAACAGCGGGTTCCGGGGGTACCAGAAGCACTTTATGGTCTCGGTGCGCGCGGCATACGTGGGCTCCCGCTGGCCGGTGCGCTCTCTCGGCGCCATGTTTGTTTTTCAGTTGTTAAGCGCGCAGCGGGCCGCCAGACAGGTTTAAATCAGCCACTACCTCCTCCTCCACCGCCACCACCACCACCACCACCACCGCCGCACCACACTACCATCACCACCGCCACCACCTCCACCTCCACCTCCACCTCCTTCACCACCGACCAGCCAACAGCACCTCTCACTCTCTCTTTCTCTGTCCAACGCGTGCGCGTCCGCCGCGCTCTTTTACTCTTTCCATCTTACTCTCGCCTCCCGATTTCATTCTCTCTATCTCTGTCTTTTTGCAGCATACACGCGCGCGCGCGTTTCTCTCTCATCTCGCGCGGGATGCGCTGAACCAAGAGTCAGCCCGCTGGATAACAAATTGCTTTTTGTTTGAACGGACAAATTAGAGAGACGGCCGCCGGATAGGGAGGAGAAAAGCGGATGAGAGAGAGAGAGAGAGAGAGAGAGAGAGAGAGAGAGAGAGAGAGAGAGAGAGAGAGGGTGTGTATAAACGTCGTAGAACCCGTACAGTTCCCGTACGCGTGTATGTATAATACACCCGCGCGTGTACGAGCGCCGCTGAAAATTTCACTCGCGAACCCGCGCCACACGACTCCTCCCGCGACCCTACGTGGGTGTCGAACCATGGATATCTCGGTCTTCGTGCGCACACGATGCAAGCTGATAAACTGTCTGAACCGCTTTACGCGTCGGCCAGGATCGTATTCGAGGCGGCGGCTGGAACGTCGTTCAGGCCAGGTCACCTTTTCGACCGATGCTTCACAAGAGCGTATGTTCTTACTCTGTGTGTGCCTCCGCGAAAGCGCTGTTAAAGATTTTACGATCACGCGGAGACGATCGATAGACTGACAAAGATTGGATCGGTGATACCGTCGCGAGTATCCGTGATAATTAAGCGGCTGAACGTTCCTCTGCGCGCGGCAACACGAACGATACACGGTGGTCGATCAACCTCGTTATTTCACATTCAAATTGAAAAAGGCCAAAAAAAAAACAGAGGAGAGAAGATCGAAACGTCGACCAAAAGGATATATCGGCACCGGGTCCTCTAATCGAACCCTTTTCCCTTGGGTTCGAAAGCGTCGATCGTTAGTGCGGTATCGCTAATCGAGCAGCGTAACGCTCCGTTTGAAAAGGTTCTTTGAGCCTGCTGTTGATTTTTCTAGCTGCTAAACGTCCTCCGCTTCCCTTCGAAAGGGAAACGGACCCGCAGAGGAGGAGGAGGAGGACGTGGTCATGGTACGCGCCGGCTCGTGCACGGAAGCTCGATCTCCCCCCCGGCCCCTGAAACGAGCCGAGAAAACAGGCGGTCCCCGCTGGTGCTCTCTCATCCTCGAGTACTCGAGTTCACTTCGCACCTCTTCTGTGTCTATACTTCGACTCGCGCGCCCCGCACGAGAAACGGAAGTGGAACGTCCAAATATGTGCTCGGTGGTTTTCCGCCGGGCGCGCGGGTGTTGTCTCAAGGACCTCCGCACAGTTTGCGCCTCCAGACACAGGGAACTGACCCGATGAGTTTTCGGACCCTGTACATACCGCCTCGTGGACACACACGCTGCCGGCAACCGTTTCGTTCCATCATCCTGCTCCAAAAAGAAAGAGCGAGAGAGGGACACTCGATCGACCGAACCCAGATTTCGCCCGGGACTAGGAATCGAAAGCCACAGGCTGTTGTCGATTATCATTCGTAAAACAGAAAGTGTATAATCGATCGAGTCAAAGAGGAACGGAGCCGTACGAGCCTCGGCTACCCCTGAAATTCTTCGAGGTCTTAGCTCATCGCGATCAGGACCGGATGACTGGAACCGAACGTCATCGGCGATCGAAAGCTACTACGACTTCTCTTGTGGCGGACCGTGACGTAAATAATTAACGGCCGTTCCCTCCCTCTTTCTCTCTCACTCCATCTCTCTTTCTGCCGAAGGATTTCCTGGCCCGATTCCGATTAATATTTACGAAGCGATCTACGAGGCACGCTTAATCGCGAAAGGTATTATTATTCGTGATTATCGGCCCGGTTGCCTGCGTTCCCGATTACCCGCGAAACAAGAGTACGCGATGATTCTAGGAACGGCTCTCCCTCTCTCCCTTCGAATTCCATTAGATCCTTGGGATCTCATCGGTGTCGGATCGAGACGAGAAGAGATCGTGGCACGATTCCCGCAATGATCAGCTTCAAATGACGAAAGACGTCGTCGTTTCACGTTCGTGGTGAATTAACCTCTCGCGTGCGTCTTTCCATCTTTTCCGGTGGAATCCGTCGTTCCTCCCCCTCTCACGAAACGTTTCTCGCGCCTCTATACAGCTCGGATCGAGGAAAAATCCTGCGAAAGGGCGACGAGGAATCCTCTTAAAGTCGGCCGAGGGCTCCGTTGATCCGCTTCCAGCCGATGGTTTTTCCAAGGGAGTCCCGCGAACGGAATGCAAGATAGATCGGAGAGCCTTTCGGGAAGAGTGGTCCCCCTAAGTCGGTCTAATCAGTTTTCTCGGACGGGGATTAACGACGCGTCCTCCGCGTATATATCTCTCTTTCTCTCTTGGACCCGATCATGAACATTACTCGTTGGTCTTTCGTTTCGCGAGATTACGAGATCCATGCTCGAAAGAAATTTTTTCACAGTTGCCCGTTCACGGGGCATGGACAAATTGCTACCTAGAGTGTAAGTACATTCGGACCGGGCGAAATTTTCTCAGAAGCTGGACAGTGCGCCGTCGCGCAAGGAGGACGATTAATTAACCGAGAAAATTTGGGTCCGAGAGGAGGGGGGGGGGGAAATGGGAAGTTTCGAGCATGTTTTCCAGTGTTCTTACGTCGGTCTAATCACTTTGCTTTCCCGGATCGGAGGCCAAAGTCCCCGCGTAATAAGTACGGGCCAGCAGCGCGGGGGTTATTAATATACAGGACCGTAGGGCGAACAGCGTCAGAACAAACAAGCCAAACAGAATTAGCTCGGAGTATTTGAACAACCTGATGGGGAGAAGGGTTGGCGTGCGTGGCGAAGCGAGACGCCGCTTTGATGGCGTTCTTGGTGAGCCTCGAAACTCGACTATATAAAGGGATCTCTCGAAGATACTACTGTCTCTCGTTCTCTCTCTATCGCTCCCACTCTCTCTTTCTCTGTTTCTCTCTCGCTTCTCGTACTACTAATCTCGCTTGCAGGACCTTGAGAAGGGCCCGGATTTCTCCCTCGTCCTCGACAGATCGAGAGCACGAAGACTTTAAACAAAACGGAAAAAAAAGGAATAGTAGGGAAGAGGGGTTGGGGGAGAGAAAGTCCCGCTTGAATTAATTAAGAATGCTCGAGTTCCACAGTCACTCGATCGAGAGACCGGCGGTACCCGTGGTGCCCCTCCGTCTTTCTCTAGGCCCTTCGAGTTTACCTCATTTCCATCTTCGACGAGCGACCGAGGGAACGTTACTCCATGCTCGGTTATTAGCAGGCTCGTCGCGTAGATTCCCCTCCTCTCGATGTATGCATATCCCATCTCGAGTGGATGTACGCGGGGAATGTATGTATTTCTTTAGCGGGATACACACGATCGGTAATTTTCTGGCGGTTTCATTGAGAAATAAAAAAATCGAGAGAGAGATTCTCCTCGAACACTCTACCGTCGATTACTCGCTAGATATCCGATCTTTTTTCCGGGAACAATTTATCGTTCGGTTTACCAGGGTCGAGGAAAGGGGGAAGGGGGGTTCGGCTCGTTTACCGGTTGTGTTCTGTCGTGTGATACTCGCGCGTAGGAGAGGGCCAAGGAACGTTTAGAAAGTCCAATAAACAATGACGGGACAATTTTCGGAAACACCGATCGTATACATTCCGTCTACTTTATGCCCGATGGCTTCGTTAAACGTAAATTATCGCTGGTATGCGGCAGACGCGTACCAGCGGCCGGACGAGGACACCCGATCTATCGGAAACACCCTGAAAACACTACGATAATAGCCAGAAACGGGTAACGCGAAGCGATTTATCTCTCGACAGATAAAGTTTTCGATGAGGCACAGAGAGGAGCGTGGACGGAGGCGATCTCGGCCGTTCGACACGGAATATTTAAATCATCTCCCGCCTCGGGAAACAGCCAGAAGGACTATTCGTATGCATCGACGAGTCGTCGTGGTGTACATACATCGTTTCCGTCCTAGTTTCGGTTCTCGTGCCCACTCGAGGATCCGATCCCTGAAACGAATCGAACGAATTTAAAGCGCGTGCTCCGTTGCTCCGGCTGCGTGTTCGAGATTAGAATCTAGCGTAGAGGCGAAGGCGTATTTGGGTTGTTCCGAGTTGCCCCGTGGAGGATCCAGAACACGAGCGGGAAGATACAGCTAGCTGCGAAGCTAACGGTATTATACACACGAAGAACAACCGTACGCTGGGGGATAGCGCCGAATAAGAGAGGAGAAGTCGACGAAATTTGGCTTCCGAAAGAGGATCCTCTGTATCGCTGGCCGATCGTCTCCGACGACCGAGAAGCAAGCCAAGTTCATCGCGGAGCCGATGAAACGCGGCGATCGTGTCTGGTTGGTGTTCCGGCGAAAAGGTTCTGGTTGGCTCGCACGTGGCTCTCGAGCCTCT